CATTATAAATAACGGAACAAAATAATTATAATAATATAGTTGAAAGGACAAGTAAACAATTTTTAGTCTTTGACTGATTAATTCCGATTGTTTTGTTTCGATCACCATCTTCTACTTAGACCGTACAGGATGTATAGGTGAAACGGGCGAAGTGCTGAAAGTTTTTTTTGGAAGATATATCTTTATCTAAACACACATGAGGTTTGAATTAAATAAAAGTTTGTATTAATTTTTTTTCATAGTCACAGATTGTAATGTTAAGTGTTAGCACTTTAACAGTTAATTAGTTAACTTAACTAACATTAATATTTAATAATGACTTAGTCTTCTTAGTTAGTACTATTATTAATTAGCATAAAATTTATAAATTAAATAGGTAGTAATAGAAGAACTAAAAAAGGAACTTGCTTGATGGATGTAATGTAATATAAAATAAATTATAAAAACAAACATAACCAAGTCAGTTTACCATTACCTTTACTTTACAGTTTTACACAAGGACATTTCAAAAACCTGAGCTGTTAGTTTCAGCTGGTTTATTTACTCTGAAACATTTGGTTGAAGCAGTAAGCTTAGATTTAATTTTGTTTACTAAATTGGAGCTAACACTTGCGATTCTTTATTATATGTTGGATGGGTTGATAACATTATAATTGGGTATCAATATAATATTATTATATATATCAACTTATTAATTAATTAATTAATTTAATAAAATAGATAGTCTATAATTCTATATCTTAATAAATAAGTAAATAAATTAATTAATTAAATTGATCTGATGCTTGAAAATGATGAATGACATGGAAACGAAAGATATGGATACCGTGGATAAACCTGCAAACACTTACTACTTTCTGGAGCCTAAAAGACCATTATCACAAGATATAACTTTCAACTCTTTGCAACAGGATTATAATCACAAAGGTTGATAAGCTGCTAATTATTTATTGCTGTATGTATGATTGAACCGTTTTTATTGTAGCTTTAAAATGCAATGTTTAGAATACATGCTGAGAAGTTAAATTAAGTTTGATTGAGCTATAATCAACATTTTAAAAGCTCCCTCACAACCTGATTGCTCACTGCATGCTTTTTTAAAATAATTTTGTTTAGTGTTTCAGTTATGATCATCAACATGGAAAACCTTAAACTAAAACATACACAACGCAATTTAAATGGGTTTTAATGTCATGCATTTTTTATGCAAATCAACATTGATAAATAAAATTTTTAAAACAACAAGGCTTTTCTATTTACTTGATTTATAAATCTTTCTAATATTCATTTCTTGTAAATATCGCATTCCATTCTACCTTCAACTAAACTACATACGTTCTTTTTCTTTTTTCTTCTTGGTTCTGCACCACTCCACCAAATCCTATCACTTCATTTAAACATTTTGGCTTAGTATATTTCAGAGCTCACACAGCTTAAACTTTTGCTTCAAACTTTTATTAATTATGTTACTTTTCAAGGTTACGCTGCATCTTTTTTTACTACAAATGTATATGAAATTATGGGAAGATTTGCATTTGCACTTTCTAGTTTTCTTAAACATCTTGCTAGTTTTTGCTCTATCAAATAATGTTTATTCCACATAACAGAAAAACTTAATTCTTTTCATTCTGACCTATATCTGTTGCCAAAAATTGGTTGATTGTCATGCGAAGATTGTTGTAGTTATTAACCAAGCAGAAACTTCTGATGGTTTTGTTGAAAGAGAAATTGGTTGAAGTTCTGTTGGGTTGTTGGGACAATTGAAGATATTGGACATTATGAGGACTGTTGTTACATGCCGGGCAGATGCTTTGTTTGGTTTGGATAATTTTGTATTCATGGTGAAGATGCTCTTGCGAAGTGTTGTAACAACCTGTTGCAATTTGAAGGACATTTTGAATTGTTTGTAGCTTTTGAAGATTTGTTTTTGAAGAATTTTGAAACCAGAGGGAACAAGCTTATTCTATTAACAATTCAACACAAAATCAACAAACTCATCAACAATTCAACACAAAATCAACAAACTCAAGCAATCGCGTTGGAAGGATTTCCTGGCCACCTTCAACAAGATAACAAACACAAAACGCCTCTGGAGTACATTAAAACTCTCAGCGGCAAACCAATTCAATACTCAAATATCGCCATCAATTTCAACAACAGGTCAATAACAAATAACCTGCAATGGCCAATTCATTCAACAAAGTGTTCACCTCTGCAACAAAACATTCATCAAACAAACAAAATAAAATCATCTACAAAACTGTCAAGAAACTCCCGCTTGACGATCACCCTACCATCACATCTATTTAGGTTGAAAAAGCAATTAGAACATGAAAAACCATCCAAAGCAACTGGACCGGACAACCTGACAATATTCCACCTAAAGCACTTATACCCAATAGGAAATTCCTTCCTAACCTACATTTTCAATGAATCCCTACGAACCTATAGGATTCCAGAAAATTATAAAATATCTAAGATCATCCCCCTGCTAAAACCTGGTAAACCAGCTAGCGACGCGAAATCATATCGGCCCATATCTCTACTTTGTCCGGCAGCCAAAGTATTTGAAAAATGCCTACTGCCGATCATCTCAAATCATCACACATTACCGAGCCATCAACGTGATTTTTGCCCACTTCACTCAACAACAACAGCTCTTACTACGATGGTTACCATCATCGCAAACGGACTAAACCAGAAGAGGCCAGCTTATCGTACAATTTTAACAGCACTGGACCTCACAAAAGCCTTCGATACCGTTAACTATCGTACCTTAATCTCTGACTTCCTACAGTCAACGCTTCCACGGTCAATTGTCCGCTGGCTTTCAAACTATCTGCACGGTCGCTCCGCCTCCACATAGTTCCGTCGACAATCCTCAAAACAACGTACCATCCGTTCAGGAATACTTCAAGGATCTGTATTGTCACCAACTCTGTTCAACCTCTACGTCTCCAGAATTCCAACCCCGTCTCAATACATCAAAGTCATTTCCTATAAAGACGACTTCACAGTCTGATAGTCGGACCCACCAGCTCAATTGTTACCTGCCGAAGTTCTTTGACTTCTTTAAAAACAGAAACTTAGAGATTTCCACCTCCAAGTCCACAGTCACTCTTTTCACTTCACACACATCACAGTATCATCACCATCCTTCAATCAAAATCAATAACAATCTCCTTCCTCTTGAGCACAACTCTAAAATATTAGGCCTTTCCTTAGACACGATGCTTTCCTTCTTACAACCCCATAAGCAAGCAACATCGAAGGCCTCTAAAAGAACCAATATCTTAAAGGCACTCAGTGGTACTACCTTCGGTCAGGATAAAGAAACTCTTCTACAGACCTACAAAGCCATCGGTCGTTCAACAATCGAGTATTCCTGGGCATCACTAATGTCAGATTCAAGCTTTTCCCGTCTCCAACGCTCCCAGAATCCTGCACTACGTCTGGTTACAGGTTGCCATACCATCGCATTAGAACGACACCTGCACTCAGAATGCCAGATGTTAACGGTAAGGCAGCATTCAGAGCTAATAGTCTCACAATTCCTCCTCCTATGCCATAACCCAAGCCACCCTTGCCATAATAGCATCATACAACCTCGTCCTCATCGAGAAATAAAGACCACCCTTTTCTCAAGTTGGTCGTCAACAGTAACTGCGTTTCTACCATCAATAATCGACGATAACACTGTAAGACAGCTTTAAAGAGCCTACATATAAACATTGCCAAAGTCGCCGCTGAGTCGTACCAGTCGCTGCTATTGCTTGATGGATGGCCTTCTCCAGCACCAAAAATAGATCCTTCAGAAGAATCACTTCCAAGGGCTATCAGACGGATCCTCGCCCAACTCTGATCTGGTCATAGTATTCTTCTAAACAGCTACAAAAACAGAATCGACAGTGGGCACATCAACACCTGTCCTTTCTGCAACAATCATACAAATGATGTTAACATTTGTTTAGCTCACGTCAAAACGCCACGGATCTTCAACCAATAGACCTTTGGAGCAACCCTGTTGCAGTGGCGGATTGGCTCCGATCTCGATTGGAATCCTAAGGGCCCCCAGAAGGGGCAACATCAACAACAAGCGTATTCTATCACTGGTCTGGATATTGTTTTACTTTGTATCAGAGATTCTTTATTCTGACCCCAGTCTGTTCCAGATAGTAGTTTAAGAATGTTATTTCTTTTGACATCTTTTTTTTTATTGAAATTTGATGATGTGGAGATTATTATATCGATAGTTAGACCAAGGAGTTTGGGGTTGTATTCTAGAAGTAATATAGAATTGTTAATGAATTGTTAATTTTTATTTGATGATGAATATTGTATTGAAATGTGTAAGGAATCTAGCATTACCGTTGGTTTTTGTATGGAAACTTCTAAAGATCTTTCTTTGAAAAAGTTTGTTTGAAAAAGCAAGTAATTGTTGATTCGTTCTATTAGTTGGTCGACATCAAGTCCTGATGAATAAATTGTAAAATCATCCGCGTATGATACCATTTTGATATTAGATGGAGGAATGGGAGCCTTTGAGACCTAGGGACTAAATAATGTTAGAGAAAGTACTGAACTTTGTGGAACGCCGGTGGTTGTAGATGTTGATTTATTGTTGCAGAATTCGGTTGCTTTGTAAATAATTTGCTAACCATCTAACGATTTTGTGGGGGATTATTGTCTGTTGCTGGTTGTTGATAAGAGTTTTGTGATTGACAATGTCGAATACTTTTGACAAATCCAGAGCAGTTATTATTGTTCGATGAGGTGGTTTATTTTTATTTAAGCCTATGGAAATATCAGTTGTAAGTTGTGGAAGAGTTGTGTTTGTTGAGTGCTCTGGTCTGAAACCTTGTACATGGTTGGCTAAATGATCATAGTCTGGGGTTCACATGTATGAGGATGACCTTCAAATTTATTCTGCAGGCCTGATAAAAGATGCTCAAGCCATCTCTTTCGGTTTAAGTAGGTGTATTATTGATGTGAACAATTGGTTAAAATTGAATCGTTTGAAGCTTAACCCAGACAAGACGAAGTTGATATGGTTTGGTTCTAAGAAGGCTGTAAGAGGTATGACTTTTGATATATTGGGTAATAGGTTGATCTCGGCTGACAGAATCAAAAACATGGGAGTGATGTTTGACAGTGCTTTGACGATGTTGTCTTAGGTCGCGAAACTCAATGCTATCTGCTTTTTTCAGCTGCGAAGATTGTATCTGGTCAAGAAATGTCTTCCAGTTGATATTTTTACTAGCCTGGTGGTGACTCTTGTTTTGTCTAGATTAGACTATTGCAATTCGTTGCTGTATGGTGCTGGTATAGAGTAGTAAATAAAGTTCAACGAATCCAGAATGCTGCCGCCAGATTGGTCATTGGTATAAGTAGACATTGATCACATTACAAAGTGGTTGGAAAGTCCACTGGCTGCCGATCAGGGAACGGATAGGATTTAAGATGGCCGTTGTGGCTCCTGGTTGCTTACATGGTGGTGGCCCAGAATATCTGAAGGTGGTTTTTCGCAAAAGAATTGACTGAAGTTGATGTGGGACATGCAGTGCGTTCGGTTTTGTCAAAAATGATGTTGATTGCTACGTTAGGTGATTTTTTCGGTTTACCTTTTATGTTCTTTATTGTTTTGCCAGAGTTTTTTTTTAGAGTTAACTTTGTTATTGAAGGTTGATAGAAATTCATACCATTTCGTTTTTTTCTGTTTATTGGTGAGTTGCCTGATTAGGTTGTCAATTGTTTGTATGATATTTGAGCTTGGATTTGTTTGTCTGATATTGTTTCTTTGGTCGATAAGATCAATGATTTCTTTGTTGAGTTCAGGTTTGTTAAATATTCTTCTGCCAATTGGCATCATATGTTTGCATGTTTCTTGAATCATTTTATGAAAAATTTTTTCTCTCTGATTGGGCATTGTGGCTTGATGGCAGATGGAAATTTCATTTCTGTTTCAGTAGTGTATCTTTGCCAATCTTTTTGTTGATATTTATGAAAGTTTTATGTGGAGCTTTGGTGTGTAGATATTTAAATTTTATTGATAGGAAGATGGTCTGAATTGAGTTCTATCTTTGTTGTCCATTCGATAAAATGGATAATTGAATCGCTGGCTGTGGTAATGTCAGAAAATGAAGGTTGATTATTTTTGGGTAATCTTGTAGGTTGATTTTTGTTTAGTGTACCATATGATAATATTAACAGTTAATTAATCAAATTGTTCCACCTGTTAGATATGCTTCATTGCCACTGATACTGTCGCGAGCATTACCTTCATAGGTATATATGTGTGGATGCATCATATAGAATAAAATATGGGCCTTTGCGTTATAAAAAGCGTCTTCAAGAGTTGTAAAGGGTAATTAGAGCATATTATGTAAATGTTCCATTGAGCTGTCGGAATCATGGAAAATGGAGTATGGGTCTCGGGCTGCATTGCACTGGTCAGTAGTGCAGCTGCGAATCCTTGGAAATGGCCTTCGAAACTAGCTCAGCTCTTAAATTCCAAATTGACTTGTGGACCTATTGGATTTGCTACCTGGAACATCCGAAAGCATTCGGACCGAACTGAGACAGAACGGCCTGCTCGGCATACTGCTCTTTTCGCTCTCGAGCTGGGTAGATCTCTTGCCACAGAGGAACCGGTCAAAGATAAGTTTTACGAATTTCTTTGTACTACCCTTCAGAAAATACAAAACGAGGGTTGGAAAAAATTTTAGCGTTTGGACAGGCATCATTGGCAGACATACAAAGTCTGGGAAGCGCAAACAGTAACGGAATCAAACTCCTCAATCTTTCTGCCGGATTTGGATTAGACATTACCAACATTTTTTTTTCAGCGGCGTAATCAAGCACAGACATCTTTTTATTGAAATTGCTGCTTAACATTTTTTTTTAACTTTCATTTAGTTTTGGTATTTTTCAAGTAAAATTATAAGGCAAAAGTTTTTATTTGGAAAATTTTGGAATATCGGAAAATTTTCAATCGAGAAGTTGGAGTAGGAAAATTTTTTTACCGACTTCTACTCTGCGATATCTCGAACACTTTTTTTTATAAGTCTTGCCCTTAATTCTTGCAGCCTTTATGTCTAAATGCACTTCTTTCTTTCTCGTTCCTTATCCTTTCAAGACAATGTTACCATCGACCTCCACAAAACCCGATCTTTAATCACTTTGCAGTAATTAAAATGTGGTGATATTCAACAAGTGAATATAATTCGTTGTTGACCGAGATCTCTTCTCCCTGCAATCTTTCCAGTAGTTGTTAGATTTTCTATTCCTTACTTTCACATGACATGACCGAAAAACTTTAACTGCCTCTAGATTATTTGTAACAATTTCTTCTTTTCATAACCGAACTGTTTTAATACATCCTCATTGGAAGTACGAGAGGTCCAACTAATTTTCATAATTCTTCTCAAAAACCACATCTCAGCAGCATCGATCCTTATCCCCATTTCTTAAGAAATCATTCAGAACTCAAAGCCGTAAATGAGCACAAAAAAATTGTTACAATCTAACAGTTTTAATTTCTTGATATTCTGATTTTACTTTTAGTGAGGATGTTTCTCATTTTAGAATATGCTTTTTTCGCCATAGTTATCCTTCGTTTGATATGCACATCACGTTTACAACTTAAGGTAGACTTTCGAGATAGTTGAAGCTGTTGACTTGTTTCACCTGTTTACGATTAATGATTATGGAGCAGGTCGGGGCGGTTTTGCTTTTGCTGATAACCATACCATGTTTTGTAAATGTTAATATGGAAGCCTTTTCTTTCTACCTTTTCGTCCTACCTCGGGAAACCGGGTCTCTAGACGCAAAACGAAGATTGATTGATTGATTTACTTTCAAAAACCAGTTTGAAAACAATTGTTTGCAGTTTTCTATTGATTCCGCTATAAGGGCTGTATTATCAGCATATCTTAAATTGTTTATATTCACGCCTCCAAAGGATGTTTCAGGTAGATCTGTCTTTCTCGTGAATGCACTTGGTTTTTAACTTTAAACATGCAGCACTTTAAGAGCTGTATCATCAGCATATATTACATTGCTTATATTCACGCTTCCAATAGATATTTCAGGTAGATCTATCTTTTTCAAGAATGCACTTGGTTTTTAAAATGAAATGTGCAGTGCAGCACTACAGCAGTGTGTGACTGTCTAACTTTGAAATTACAGTAACATCAATTAAAAAATAAGGATTAATTTGTGATAGATGCTATGCGAGCTGGCTACAAAATTGCACATTTAGATAGGTTAGCAATTGTAAACCATTGTTTGTTTTCAAAGGAAGGCATGAAAGCTGGAGTGGGACTGGAGTAATCCAATAACAGTAAGCAGATGAGACCGCTAAGAAATTAGCTGATTCAACATAAAATTGAGATTTTACACAATAGGTCTTGCTTGAGTTATTTAATAGTTTTTAAAAATACAGCCAATATTTTTTGACCGTTTCATTAAAAAACGACCCTCAACAATACAACATTTTTTGGGTTAGTGTTTGGGTCTATGCATACAGCATCTTAGGATGGTTTTGCTCCACAAAGTTGCTAAAATTAAGGCTGTTACGACTTTTATCCAATTATGGCTTGGTAACTAAGTTCTAGTTTAATCTATTTCGAAAAATGATTTTCAGTTTTAAGACATTTTTGGTATTTTTATATTCCTCCTTTTCAAATTTCTTGATATTGCCGTTTCTTATGCAGGAACAGATCGCTGATGCATCAACGTCTATTCAACCTTTTGTTTTGGTTTATTTCTTTTTCAGTTATTTCAAATTTATATATATTTATATATATATTTATATTTATAGGTTATATATATATATATATATATTTTTACAATATTCTATATTCTATAAATTCTACCGAATGTTTGGCGTTAATATGTTTGTAGTTCGCTCACTTCTAACCCGGCGCTTAACCAACAACGAAAACAAAGAAGTAATAAAAACTAACATCGTAAATAGTGACAAAGAAGAATATGATGCTATCGATGAAGAAAAGGAGACCAAAGAAGAAAAAACCTGACACCTAATTCGCATCAAAGTTCAATTTTACAATACCAAAGTTAATTTTTACAACGTCAAAGTTCATCTTGACAAAGTCAATATTTCCCTATATATACAGCAAGGAGCACTGATGATGATTCATTCGGAATCGAAATATGGCCTTATTTGCAGCATGAATTCGAAAAATAAGTTTATTTTGAATTTTAATAAACTAAACGTTCACCAAAAAACTTTAGTGAGAAAAATCGAAAAAACGAACTATAAACATATTAACGCCAAACATTCGGTAGAATTTATAGAATATTGTAAAAATTATGTATATATGTCTTTGTCAATATTTTGACAATGACTTTGTCAAAATGACAAAGTCAATATTTCTCTATGTAAACAGCAGAAAGCACTGATGATTCTGACAATTTTGACAATGACTTTGTCAAAATGACAAAGACAATGACTTTGTCAAAATATTGACAAAGACATATATACATATATGTATATATTGACAAAGACATATATACATATATGTATATATATATATATACATATATATATATATATATTTATATATATATATATATGTTGGTAATAGACCATAATTTTTACAATATTCTATAAATTCTACCGAATATAAGGCCATATTTCGATTCCGAATGAATCATCAGTGCTTTCTGCTATTTACATAGAGAAATATTGACTTTGTCATTTTGACAAAGTCATTGTCAAAATATTGACAAAGACAAAAAGGGACAAAATGACAAAGTCAATATTTTCCTATATAAACAGCAGAAAGCACTGATGATGATTCATTCGGAATCGAAATATGGCCTTATTTGCAGCATGAATTCGGAAAATAAGTTTATTTTGAATTTTAATAAACTTTTAATAAACCAAAAAACTTTAGTGAGAAAAATTGAGAAAACGAACTACAAACATATTAACGCCAAACATTTGGTAGAATTTATAGAATATTGTAAATATATATATATACATATATATATATATATATATATATATATAGATATATATATATATATATATATATATATATATATATAACGAAGTTTAACTTAAGTGTCTTTTTATTAATTTCAGACGTCAACGAAGAATTTGACGTTTTGACACCTAAATCAGGTCTGAACAAGTCTGTTTATTTTTCTAGCTGTGAAAATCTAAGAAAAGTGGAAAATAGACAATTTTTGGATCCATACGATTGTTCATACAAAATCGCAAAGGCATCATCTGACAATCCATTGCAAAGTTTAGGTGATAGTCCCTCTGTTGTGCCTCCTATACCTCCTAGGGATTACCTCTGGCATGCTGTATGCAAATCTCCAAAATCAACAGAAATACACCCTGTATTACAAGATGGAGAAAAATTAAGTAACACGCATTATTGGCTGTTACCAAATAAAGCCAATGATTTTAGAATAAATGCAAGAATAGCTAAAAAAGATGACTATCTAAACTTTTCTGAAGCTCAAAATCAGAACTTAATTCAATTAAACTCACTCAACAGTAAAAATAAACATTTTAAAATGGACTTTGTTGGGAAATTATTATGCGACGGCCATACAGCAAATGAAGATGAAGAATCGCTTCTTGATCATTCTGATACTAATAATGCTTATGATAATTATTCAACTGAATTTTCACCATCAAATAATTTATTGAATGTAAACAATAGACAAATTTGGAATCAAAATTACAACCAAATAAGCTATGATGACCAACAAGAACCATCAATGAAAGAAGCAAAACATATGATAGAGAAGGTCCAAACATCAGTTGAAGGAGTTACTTTTGATGAATGTCAAACTGCATTGTCAATGTTTCAATGGAATGTGGAAGCTGCTGTTAAATATTTGAAAGTTGAAAACTTGTTCAGATTAGCCTTGGCTCCAAGAGAATTTTGTAGAAAAATTTTGGAGCAAAATGACTGGGATTTAAATAAAGCTGCGTCAAATTTGCTCGACTGTTTAAAAAAATGATTATTTTTGCCTAAAATCTTACAAAGTATTTTATTTATCTATTACTTTGGCGGCAATTTTTCTGGATAAATTTTTATAAAAAATGCTAGAACAATTTCATATTTGACCTCAGGTTTTAACTTTGAAGGGAATGAATTTGCAATAAGCTTTTGTTACAAATTTTTCATTAGAATTAGCAATTGGTCAAAATAATGTGGTTTACTTGTTTCTCTTGTATATTTATTTTTTAAATGTTTTCAGATGTGATATTCATCCACAATTATTTTAGCTAAATGTTAATATTTTTTAACGAATATTTAATTTTTGTTATAAATTTAATCATGATATTCGATCAGCTTGAACAGCATTTCGCGATGCTATTTTCATTGTCATTAATATCACTAAATTCGTTTACTGTTCGATATTATCACGTTTATTTTTATGTGCAATCGTGTCATAGATTTATTGGCCACTCCAGATGAGTTTAAATTTATTAGGTTCAACGAAAAATTTTTGATGCGCAAAAAATTGTAAATTTCCATATTTTAATTCAGAAAAAGAAACGCACCGATTTTCAGATTAAATTTGAAAATAGAAAATAGGCTACGCAATAATCTGACAAAAGTACTATTAGTCTTTTGGGTACCTTCGAGCACAATGATTAAATCTTGTTGGATTTTAAACGTGAATAAAATTGTAAGATTATGTGACACTTATGGAATTTTAAACTGAAATTGCCAAATTGTATCTCCTCTTATATGCTTTCCTGGAAGCAAGAGAAGCAACGACTACACACATTCATTATAATTCATGCAGGTTAACTTTAGTTGGTGGTCGTTTATAATGTAAAAACGTAAAAGCTTCCAGTTTAATGTTAAGATCAAACGCTCCATTTCACTTTGCATTTGTAATTATAAATTTTTCAGTTCGCGGTTTTTGATTTTGGCTATTCGGAGCTTTCTCATGAGATAATGGAAATATAGAATTTTCGTCGTCGACGACGCCGTGAAGGTTGCCACGGCGTTCCTTCCTACCGCTTCTTCCGTCGAAACGCTCGTCGTCGCCGCTGTCCTCGTTGCGACGGTGATCGTCGACACGGTAAGGTAGCGTCGGCCATCGGCGCCGAGACAATCGTACACGCCACCGGCCGCTCGATACCACACACTCTCGCCTTCTTCACGCTGGCGGTCGTTTCTCTGGTCGGGACCCGCCGGTCTACAATATCTTTTACAGACCTCAAGGTCGGAATACACGGGCCGGGCGAAAAAGATGTTTCGCCCTTCTTGCCGGGCGTACGGACCGACCTTTCCGCACGCTCGCAAGTCTTCTCTCAAGCGTTGGGTCATTTCTTTATTATTATTTTGTTTATTAAAACAGAAACAATATTACGGATTAACCTTTAGTATCAACTATATTCGACAACGATCAATTAAAATAACTAGTTCAAAAACCAAATCATAAAATAATCCAATAATCAACAGTTTATAATAATCTACAATAATCAACAGTTCATAATAATCTACAATAATCAACCGTCCTAACGTCAACTCCGGCACAAGAACAACAGCACGAAAAAAAAGCCTTAATTCATTTGTGCCGACTATTTATAAACTTGCACGGCGCTCTCCTCGGTAAGCGCTCGTACTTTGGGCTAATAAACAACCCACGTGACCATACGGCGCTCTTTCCTAAGTAAGCGCTCGTACTTTGGGCTAGTAACCGACCCACGTGACTATGTAAAATTTCCATTACACGTCACCATAATCATCAGATTTTACAAAAACATAAAAAAAGAATGTATTTTTCTTATTTGTGCCTTATTCTTTTAAGACATTGGCGACCTTCAACCTCCACAAAAACCGATCGTTAACACTGTAGCAGTTGAACTGTAGCGATATTCAACAAGTGACACAAAGGACTTCACGAATGTAATTCGTTGTTGACCGCGATCTCTTCTTTCTGCGATCTTTCCAGTAGTTGCTGATATTCCACTCTCTCTTTCTGCATGATTTGACCGAAAAATTTTAAATGCCGCAGTCTGATTATTTGTAGTAATTTTTCTCTTCATAACCGGACTATTTAATACATCCTCATTGGAAGTTTGAGAGGTCCAACTAATTTTCATAATTCTTCTCAAAAATCACATCTCAACGGCATCAATCCTTTTCAATTATGATTACGTTTAGCGTGATGGCGGCACGTTTTCTTGGTCGTTTTGTAATTTGGTGGAATCTTGTTTTTTGCTTCTGAACAAGTGAGTTCTCTTCTTTTTTATTATGACTATTTTTTTCTATATCTTTTTCTATAACTTGTAAATATTATTATGTCTTATTCTAGGGACTTTCTCTTAAGCCTTTCTAACACCGTCGCTGACGAGTAGTTCGGTGGCGAATTTTTTACTTTAATCTTAGGGCTAATAATAAATCTAACTCTAACAAAAAAATAAATATAGTTAGTAACAATAATTATATTAATAATACTAATAGCAAGTATAATAGGAATAATTTTATTAAATCCCACTCTAATGTAATTAATACTAACGATAAGAATAATAATTCTAATTCTATTAGTTTAAATAATATAACTAGATTTAAAAGTACCAATATCCAACCTACCTCTACATTTTCACTATTTAATATTAACATAAGATCAATTAATAAAAAATCGCTCTATACCCATCAAATAATCACGAGGACTCTAACTCTCCCTCTATCATTCTTGCTACTCCTGATGGTTACAGCTTCCTTGAACTCTCTAGACCTCCAAAAAATCTTCTATCATCTTTTCATTCTTCTTATGGGGTATCTGTCTACTTTATAAATCTCTATTTACTGCTTCCATTAATACTTTTAATTTTTCTTCTTTTGAATGTCTTGTTGTATCTCTTAAGTCTTCTTCTCTATCTTTTTATATTGCTGTAATCTTTCGCCCTTCTTCTTCTCTCACTTTATTTTTAGATGAATTCTACTCACTCGCTGAATCTCTCTACTCTTTTTCTATTCCTTTCTACATCTCTGGTGATTTCAAATTGCACTTCAATAATTTATCATGTTCTTACACTCGTAGATTTAATGATATTTTGTCTCTTTCTAACTTAACTCAATATTGTTCTTTTCCTACCCATACTTCTGGTAACACTATTGATTTTGTTATAGCTTCATCTTTTTCTAAGCCTATTAATATCTCTGCTAGTTCTGTTCCTTATTCTGATCATCTTCTTATTGAATCTGTTTTTTCATTAGATTTTCTTCCTTCAAATTCATCTATGTCTATTTCTAAAAGATGCTGGTCTTCTCTTAATAAAGATATTTTTCTTCAATCTCTTACTGAAACTATTTTTGATACTACCTTATTTTCTGATGATGATTTTGTCTATGCTTTTAATATCTACATTACTTCTATTCTTGATAAGTTTATTCCTCTTAAATCTTTTACTTATAGGCTCTATTCTCGTAAGGCTCCTTGGTTTGATTATGCCTGTGTAGTAGCCAAGAAAAGTGTTAGAAGACTGGAGAAAGCCTATAGGTTAAATCCATCTAACTCTCTATTCTATCTATGAATCTGAATTGATTAATTATAAATATCTACTATTCTCTAAACACTCTACTTTTCTTAGAAATTCTATAACATCTGCTTCTATTGGGGTATTGTTAGACAAGGCTGTGTATTATTAATATCTCCAGGCCTGTACAATCTCTATAGCGAGAAGGATAGAAGATCTACTTGGAATATTCATTGGAAGCGTGAATATTAACAATATAAGATATGCTGATGATACAGTTCTTATAGCAGATTCAATGGAAAAACTGCAAACAATTGTTTCCAAACTGGTTTTTCAAAGTGAAAGGCTTGTAAATTTATATCAACGTAACAGAGTGCATGGTAATCAGTAAAAGAAAAACCGCCCCGATCTGCTCCATAATCATTAACGGTAAACAGGTGAAACGAGTCAACAGCTCAGAAGTCTGATTACCTCAGTTTGTAAATGTGATATGGATATCAAAAGAAGGATAGCTATGGCGAAAGATGCATATTTTAAAATGAAAAACATCCTCACCAACAGTAAAATCAGAATACCAACAAAATTAAAACTGTTAGGTTGTTACATTTTTCTTGTGCTAACTAACGGCTCTGAGTCTTGGACAATTTCTAAAGAAATGGAAAGAAAGATTACAGTTGCTGAGATGTGGATTTTGAGAGAATTATAAAAATTTGATGGACCTCTCATACTTCGAATGTATTAAAACAGTCCGGTTACTACAGATAATCCGACGGGGGCAGTTAAAGATTTTTGGTCACAATCATGCGGAAGGAAAGAATGGAAAATCTAACAACTACTGGAAAGATTGCAAGGAAAAGAGATCGCGGTCAACAACGAATAACATTCGTGAAGTCCTTGTGTCACTCTTGTTGAATATCGCCATATTTCAACTACTACAAAGTGTTAGAGATCGAGTTTTGTGGAGGTCAATGGTTGCCAATGCCCTGAAAGGATAAGGCACGAGAAAAAAGATTGTAACCATTGTAATTCAACAAAAAATTTTATAACAACTTTTAAATCTGTTTAATTTTATAATTATTTATATAGTATAAATATTTATATAGTATAAATATAAAAAGTTGAATAAAAAACAATGACATTTCTTAAATTAAAATGCATTATAATTTCTTGTTTTTTAAAACGTAATAGCAATATTAAACTATTTAGGTCTATCACTAAAACAATATAAATATATATATTTCAATTTTTCGTACAATAAATTTCAGTTCATTATCAAGAACTCTACAAAGTTCATAAATTTTTATTAATATTTACATATTAAAATAGTTTTTTCGTCAATCGTTTATCATAACCAGTGTTGAATACGGATTTTTTTATTTGTCCGTTTATAAAGGTGTGGAGTGACTTTGTTACTGCGTGTCACACAACTATTTTGCATTTATAAGTTTAAAACTTTTGCCCGACACGATAACAAACTGTTGTCACCTAGTGTGTTCGTGAAAATTGTTGAGTGTGGATACCAAAACTTCGAATACATCGGGTTGACAACAACTAAAGGCCTTAGAGACCTGCTGCTGATATGATTCCAGTTTGCTTGAATAAAATAAAAAATATAGATAACACTTTCCTTGCCTGTATGTGCCTACTAAAAATGTTTTTAAACCACGATTAACAGTTTACATCACTAGCAGTGCATCTGTACTTTTATCCCTTTAAAATGTTCAAAACGCTACTTTTTCTGTCCATTTCACAATTTGTTGCTATCGTCAAATATGATAATAAATAATAAAATGTCAACAAACATCGATGCGACAGAAACGGACAGACATTTACGGGAAACCAAATTAGTGTAAAAATATTAAAATAATCCACATACCAGAAAATATTTTTTTTCAAACTCATTTAAAAATCAACTAACGTAAAAACATGGAATGTAAACAGACCAATTCCTAATTGTTTTATCAAAAATAATGAGATATCAACAAAAATCTTAAGAAATTATATGAATAATTTTATTAAAATTGATAATATATTTTCAACAGAAATTTAAAAACACTGGGTCACAGACATTTCACAAAAAAGCTGTAAGCCTGAAAATCCGTAAGCGCCTAAAAAAATATAATTTACATAATTTAAATATTTTTTAACATGTCAGATATATCACAATAAGTGCTGTTCAATAGCATGGGCAAATAAATGACAATGTAATTGTGATAAAATTACATTTAGATTTTGTGCAATCTTAAGCTCATGAAATTAGTTTTTTAACAAAGATGCAAAATCATCTTTTTCTGACAGAGGAAAAATATCTTTATATCTTTCTACTGAGCATAAACCTTTGACAGACTGTTTTATTAAAGTAAACAAAACTCTTGGTGGAATAACTGTTGATTGATTTGGCAACTCTCTCATGACGTCATCATTTTTCCAACTATTATATACAAGGTTCCTCCATTTTGATATAGCTTTAAAATGATCTCCAGAATAATAATTAGGTGAAAGTTCAATAAGAGCAGCATTTTTTCTCAAAAACATTGAATGGGTCAAACCAGCTCCATGCATACCAACTAGAATATCAGACCATAAAACATATTTTAGCTGATCTCTCATTTCAAAAGCATCAATTTGTGAATCTTTAATTGCAAAGATGTTAGAAGGCAGTTTCAACTTTAGGTAATTTAACAATCCCACTTCGTTAGCAATTTTTCTTGAGACAGTACCACTTGGATTTCTTGGATGGGCTAAATAATCCCTTCGCCAAATTAAAAGTATGTTAAATTTTGTACAACCATGACTATGAGTTTCATTTAATCCATAAGCATCTAAGAAAAACTTTCTAAACTCTTCTAATAATGGAGGATTAACACCTGACATCGATATGCCTAAGGGGCTGTTGTATCCTAATATGCCCCACACCAAGTTTTTGTAAAATGTTTTCATTGGTATGGTAGACAACCGCTCTGTCGAATTAAATAAATGTGACCAAACAGAATCTAAAGCCCCAAAAGGATGAGCATCAACCAACAAAATATTGATTTCAAAAGATGATTTATTGAAAAATTCTTTTAAAAGAAATGCATTATACCAATCAGTTAAAGAATGATAAAGGTTAGCATATTCATATCTGGTGACAGCTATCGTGAAATCATCAATAACTATATAATCATTGAAAAAAAAATTATCAATTTCTTTAGTTTTTAAACTTGATAACCAATCATTCAAATGATTTTTGGAATTAAAATTATATGAGGGTCTGACAGGACAGCTTTTTACAAAACAGCCAAAATCAAATGAATAAAATTCTTTATCTTCAGATTGCATAACAACACTTGATAAAGATTCTCCTCCTTTTTTTGAGCAATGACAATAACTCTTGTCGATTCCTATATCCTGAGCGTGCAAGAAATTATTATCAAAAAACCTGAACTGATTATTGCATTTGAGTTCCAATTTCCAATGATTGAACAAATCTGGTCTTGGCACGTTTAGTTCGTTTATATATGCTCCTTTTTTCCAATATTTTCTAAATAATTTGACAGGTTTCATCTCAAAAAATGTAGTATTTACAATAGCTATGACACTTTTATTTACAAAAAAACTAGCCTCAACCTCTCTGGTGTATTTTGAACCTGATGGTACAATCAGGCTGTCAGTCTGAAAGTTATTTTTCACAAGCCCAGGATTATCAGCTTTTCCAAACACAATTATTGCAACAGGAGAATATGAAAAAAAATTAAATGAATCTAAAGTGTAAGAATTCTTAGAAAGATACAATTTTAAATTCAAAAAAACCATCAATAACAGTGATAGACCAATTAAAATCACAAATTTTTTTTTGGCTAAATATTTCATACTAATATGTGAAAATATTTTTAAGAATAAAACAACTTCAAATATAATTAATTAAATTTTATAATTGATAAAAAAATCATTATTTGCCAAAGCACGCGTACTGGAATCATTAAAAAAATGTAAAAATAAGAGTATGAGAATAAATTTTTGAACTTAATTAAAATTCTATATTTATAGCAACTAATTTAGTTCAAATAACTAGTTCTGGTATATAAAAGTACAAAAGCAAATTCAATTTAAAGACATAATTAACACTCTGCTAATCTTTGATTTATATATTGAAATGAAATTCTAAATATGTAGATGCCTCCAAATAGATTTGATATTTATTAATGTATGCTTTAAAACAGCTTCTTTCCAAATTAGTTGCATGGACTGAATTGAAGAAAACAACTTAAAATAACTGAGAACCACTTTATCTTTATTTGTTTTCGGAATTTCCACATGATATTTTAGATTCCTCCCCTATTTTTCATCCATCATTAATCCATTGATCATTGTGTCAATTTTATCTGGAATGATGTATTATTTTAAATAAAAACAGTTCAGCAATTTATTTAAGCTTTCTAATAAAAGCAATTTTATAAAAATTAAAATAATTTCAAAGTAGTTTGTGGGCAAAATTATAATGGATTGTAGCATAAACATGAAGCCCAAAAAGACTTATTTTACGTTCACTCTATTAAAATGTTAAGCATATATTTAATCTTTTAAACTAATCTATATTACCTTAACCAACTTAGAGTCATTATAAAATCAGTGAGACAACATTCTTATCATTGGTAAAAGCGCCCAATCTTGTCTTCACAGGATCTTATATGTATATAGAAAAACAATGCTTCTGATTCAAATTTAATGGAATATCTGTCTAAACAGAATTTTGTTAGATTCGTTTGAACCGAACCAGTTAAGAAATCATAGGTTTCAATTCTAGATTAAAACCGAAATCCTGGAATTCCCCTATGATTTATTAACTAAGTCAAACGAATCTAAAAAGATTCTGTTTAGACAGATACCCCATTAAATTTGAACCAGTAAATAAATACCTTAGAGTTGAATAAATTTAGTTCACAACGAAAATATATCAACGTGTGAAGTGGTTTCAGTAAGGTATATTTCCAGGTTTATTAGTTTCTACAGGAACGCCATCTCCACCAGTTGCCTTTCCGTTTACTAGTGCATCAATGGCTATACTAAGTTCCGTTTCCGAATATATCTCATCCAGTTCAGTCATAGTTGGTATACCTTGAACTTCTGACAACGCAGCTTCAATAACAAGACTCTTTGTTTGATAGAGTTTTACATAGTGTTCAGTCCATCTTTCCATTTGAGATGCACGATCTTTATTTATTGTACCATCTTTTGACTTGAGTGGAACACATCTGCTAACAATTGGTCATAAAGCTTTCCTTATACCTTCATACAACCCCTTTGCATTACCAGAAACAGCACAAGTTTGAATATTTTTACGGAAATCTTGCCAATATCTTGCAAGTTTAGTGTTTTATTTCTTGCATCTCTAAAAGTCTGTAGAATGCTTTGTGTTGGTTCTCTTTTGTAAGCTATCAGAGCTTATCTTTTGTATTTTGTAGCAATTTCTATTTCTGACAAGTTTGCTTCATACCAATCCTCATTTTTTATAGCTTTTTTCCTCAGAACCGACCATGATACTTGATAGATGAGATAGCGCATAGATTGCCAACTTTCCTCATCAGTAAAACTGTTTTCAAGTCTTTTTTTCAAGGATCCATGTATGTGTCAATCTAGTGTGGCCAATTTTAATTCTATTTATCGCTGTCTGGAATCGCCTTTCAACAGTTATTATCTTTGGTCCCTTAGGTTCAATTTTTGGCGTTGATTTCCTTAGAAAGCTTTTGCTTTTACTCCATTCTTGTTGCCACATCGATGCCATGTATTGGTTGATTATCACCTTGATATCAGAATATGGTATTGGTATGTTTGAGATAGGGAGGCGATGAGCCAGATTTGCAGCTTTATCGGCCTTTTCATTCCCTTCTATTCCTATGTGGCTCGGTATCCACACAAGTTTTATCTTGTTGTTATTTATTGTCATATGTGTATTTATAGAGTTTTGAATTTGTGTTATTAGTGGGTTGTTGGCTTTATGATTTTCTATTGCCATCAAACTGGATAGCGAGCCAGCAAAAATCATGTATTCTTTGTTGGTCTCATTTATGGTATGATTGAGGGCCATTTTTATTGCTGTTAACTCTGCGGTAAATATTGATGCATAGGTTGGTAGATGTTGGAATAATGTTTCCTTTGTGGTGGGGATGACAACTGCTGATGATGTAGAATTTCCCATTTTTGATCCATCTGTATATGCTTATGGGGCTTTTGTCTAGTATTTCATGGTATATGATTTTGCATAAATTTGGGTTTTTGTCGATTTCGTTTATTGAGAGGTCTATTTCAGGTGTTTTCCTAGCCCAGGGTGCCACTTCTGCCTCTATTTCCCGCATTATTTTCATTTCCCCTATTTTTTCTAGATGCTTTTCAACTCTTTTATTTATTGTAGAGATTGCTTTTGTTGGTTTTCTAGTCGAGTTATTTGATGTTAACATGATATGTTTGTAGGCCGGATTATTGATTTGGGTTTTGATCTTCAAGAGATAATTTAGTGTCAATTTTAATTTTCTTAGATGTCTTGGCGCTTCTCCCGCCAGGACATGCATACTTTTTGCTGGCGATGTGCGAAAGGCCCCAAGACATCTTCTTAATGCTTCGTTAATAATAGGCTCTATGGTTTTAATATATGAGTTTCTTGTTGCTCCATAGGTCTGGCAACCATAATCTAAAATGGCTCTTATCGTAGCTTTATAAATTATTAGAAGGTTGTTTTGATCTGCACCCCAATTATAGTGTGATATTGTTTTAATTAAATTTAGGGCTTTTTGACATTTGATTTTAATTTTGGTGATGCGAGAGATGAAGTTTAATCTATTATCGAAAGTAACTCCCAGAAATTTATATTCTTCTTTAAATTTTATTTCATTATTTTGGAATAATATTCTTGGGTATTCTTTTCTTCTTTTTCTGGAGAAAATCAGGCCATATGTTTTGGTTTTTGAGAAATTTATCCCATTTGTTGTTGACCACTTATCAATGTCTTCCAATATTTTATTTGTTTTTTTTCCATATTGTTTATTTGTTTGTCTTTGATGGTTATTGCCAGGTCGTCCATGTGTAAACATGTCAATATACTTTTTGGAAGTATGTGGTTGATTGTGTTGATGTTTAGGCAAAAAAGGAATGGAGATAGGATGCTTCCTTGGGGTATGCCCATCTCCAAATGCATGACTTCTGACAGAACATTATTCACTTGTACTTGAAATGTCCGATTTGATAAAAAGCCTTCTATGAACTTGGGTAACAATCCTCTTAGGCCTGCTTTGTGTAGATTGTCCAAGATTCCATATTGCCATGTGGTATCGTATGCCTTTTCTACATCAAAAAAGATGGTTAATGCCTGTTCATTGTTGGCTAAAGCATTCCTTATGTAAGTTTCCATTGATATAATGTGATCTATCGTTGATCTACCTTTTCTTCCACCGCATTGGGTATTTGTTATTATGTTATTTTGGTTGAGATACCAGATTAATCTATTGTGAATTATTTTCTCGAAAATTTTGCATGTACAACTGGTTAAGGATATGGGTCTATAGCTATCTGGTGACTCTTTGGGTTTGTCTGGTTTATTGAAGGAGAGCACTATTGCATGATGCCAGATTTTTGGAATTTTAGAACTTGTCCATATGTAATTATATATTTCTAAAAGTTTTTCAGCTGCTATTGATGGGATGTTTTTAAGTATGTCATATGTAATTTGGTCTTTACCAAGGGAGGAGTTCCGACTGTTTTTAATTTCACTTATCATTTCCTTGAAGGTTATTGGTTGGTTATAAATTTCGCTGTTGTTTGATTTGAAGACTAGGATGGTTTTTTCTTTGCTTTCTTTATGTACTATGAAAGGATTCCTATGGTTTTTTGCTAAAAATTTATTTTTGAAGTGAGTTGCCAAAATATTCGCTACTTCCTCATCTGTTTCGTATTCTTTGTTTTGGTCCTTTACGTGATGTACATGAATTTTTGTTTCCCTGTTTCTAATTCTGTTAACCATTCTCCATATGATCTTCATTGGAGTGTTGCTTTTCATAATATTTACAAACTTTTTCCAACAGTTTAATTTTTCCTGTCTTATAATTTTTCTTGTCATCGCTTTTGCCCTTTTATATTCAATTAAATTGCTTGTGGTAGGACAATTTTTAAAAATTCTTACGTGTTTAAGTTTATTTTTGATTGCTGCTTTGCAATTTTCATTGAACCATGGATTTATTATTTTTTTATTTTTGTTTTTTACTACTGGTGTTGTTTGATGGATTAGTTGCATTATTGTTTTGGTCCACACCTCCAACGGGTCTTCTGTTGTGATCTCCCATGTTATGAAGTGGTTTATACAAAACTCTTTGAATAGCTTCCAGTCCGTTTTTTTTGAAATTTAGTTGTGTTCCTCAGTCTAATCTAATCTGAACTCTTTTAATTTTGACGATAATTAGGAAATGATCGCTACCGTGCTGATCACTGAGAACGGACCAACTAATATCATCCTTTATTGATGATGAAGCCATTGTAAGGTCTATTGTAGAGAAAGAATTTGTCTGTTCATGAAAATATGTGGGGCCAGTAGGCTTTATTAATTGGATATCCCCTCGTGTTATTATTTTTTCAAAGCACTTGCCTTGTAAGTTTGTACGTTTGTTCCCCCACAAATGACTGTGACCATTGAAATCTCCAATGAGAATCAGAGGTTTGGAAAGATCATTGAGGATCTTTAGAATCTCTTCTGTTCTTGTCAATGTGTTAGGTGGCAAATACATATTACAAATGGTTACGGTTTTGTTGGTTGTTATTTTTGTAACTATTATGTTTAAATTTTGATTAATTTTAATTTCTGATTGCGTTATTGTATTATTAATATATGTTGTTATTCCACCAGCTGAATTTGTTTGAGATGGTTCTGCTGCTTTTGAATAGTTTACATATTGTTTGATATCTATTTGTTTATTTGCGTTTAGTTTTGTTTCTTGTAAGCATATTATTTGTAGTTGTTGTTCAGCTATTAATATCTGTAGTTCTGGGAAATTGCTTTGTATTCCTCTGATATTCCACTGTAGAATTTTGATTTCTTCTTCTGTACTGTTGTTGTTATTATTTTTTGCTTTGAAGTTTTTATCCATGTTTGTTGTTATAAGTATGATTGAGTATTTTTGTTTCGTCCGTTGGGGGAAAAACATCATTATCGTCTTCGGTGCTGCTTATTGTTGGTTGGCAGTATGTTTTATTTTGATATTTGAGCTTGTTGTCATTATTATTTTTGTTAGTTGAGTCTTTATCTTCATTCTTTTTATAAACTTTGAGTGGCTCTGCCGGGATCAAATTGCAAGATGTGCTTTTGTCAGCCTTCTGAGGACAATTTTTGGTTATGGTTGCATATGTTTTTTGCTGAGTTGTTTTTTTTAATATTTGTTTTGCTTCCGGGATGGCGATTTTATTCATGATCTTGATTCTTATTATTTCTTTTTGCTCTTTGTATACTCGGCATGATTTGTCATAGGTCGTGTGCTTTTCTCTACAGTGATAACAATTTGTATTATTATTACATGGCTTTTCTCTAGTATGAGAGTGTCCTAATTCACCACAGTTACTACAAACAACTCTTTTATTGCTACATATATTTTTATGGTGACCATATATTTGGCATTTGGTACACCTCATCGGATTTAGAATATACTCTCTCACTTCTACTTTCTCATAGCAAATCACCATAGTTTTTGGGATTTCATGTGTTTGAAAGGTTAGGATATAAGTGTTGGTTTTAATAAGTTGTTCATTTTTTTAATGGTGATGCTTTTAACATCTACTACTCCTTGATTTTTTAGTTCTTCTTTTATTTCCTGTTCAGAACAGTTTTTTAATGATGCTGTTTTAATTACCCCCATTGAAAAATTTAAAGACCTATGAGGTGAACATTTTACATTTATGGTGCTAATTTTTGATATTGTCTGTTTAAAGACCTATGAGATGAACATTTTACATTTATGGTGCTAATTTTTTATATTGTCTGTATTTTTTCTCTTTGTTTTGCGTTTTTAACTTTTACTATTATTTTATTTCTTTCAATTTTTATATTATCTACGTCTCCTATTTGTGCATAAATCTCTTTTTGAACACGGAAACAAGTAAGTTCAGTTACGTCGTTGTCTTTTTCTGCTTCGATTACATAGAAGACTGGACTTACCTGAAATGTTTGTTCTTCATATGTTGGTTCAAGTGAAGAGACTCTTGCTCTTTTGGAGGTACCTTTTTTCTGGGAAGGCGACATTTCCCGGTGACACAAGGTCACCTTAGAATAGGCGACTCTTCTTTTTTTAAAGCAGTATTTATAACCGAAATTATTAAAATTATTTAACTTTAAAAATAAGTTTTTATATTATTACGTATTATTATTAGGAAATTATGCTTAATACAAGCAAACGATAATCATATTTATAATTTGAAACAAACAATTATTTACCACAACGCGGGCGATAATCGAACTTGTATACAAATAACCTCAGAATAATGAACAGAATAAAATTTTACCCTCCGAAAAATGCTTGAACATGATCTATAACGCCATCTGTCTGCCTCACGTGACGTACTGCAATGTTGTTTGGGCCAGTGCGTATCAAACGACCACCAACCCCGTCAAGATGCTGATGAAGAGGGCAATGAGGGTCATCACGCTGTCCAGGAAGCAAGCGCACACCAATCAACTATTAGTCGCCACCAACAATTTAAACTTTGACAAATTAAATCTTTATTTTGTGGCAAATTTTGTTTTCAAGCAACTTACAAATAGGCTCCCATCAATTTTTAATAATTATTTCATATTTAATCAAAGTTCTAGACAAGTTAAGTATTTATTACCAAATAAATCAAAGACAAATACTCTGTATTTGCATGTTGTATACAAGGGTCCTAGAATGTGGAATCAAATTTTGAAAGATGGTTTTTGTTATAAAAATTTGTCTGCAATCTTTAAAAAGAAATTAAAACTGTTTCTGATGTTGAATGACCAATGACCAACCGTAAATCAATATAGATATGGAGATCTATTTTTCAATTTTTATTTGCGCCTTAATTGCCATTGTT